CTTTCCCTAATTTAATAGACTAGGAAATAAATAATAAGGAGAAAAAGATTACAATTGAATCCAAGTGCGACTGGAGATTTCTGCATTTACATAGAATTATATTGAGCACAGCTCTTAGTCAATTTATAGCGTTCAGAATTTACAATTTATGCTATATTATACGTGCGGATTATATCATCTTTGTAGTTTTCCTCTAACTCAGGGTGGGGGGCATTTAACAACGATTGACCACAAAGTGCCGCTTCACAGCTATTGACACAAAAAATTGAAAATGTCAAATGCCCCTGGGTTTGCCAGCCCTCCCTAGGGTTGGGCATCCCATTGATGGTGCATTACAGAAGGATTTGTTTTGAGGGATTTGTGGAATTCAGAGCTTCTCAAAATTATTTTTGAATATTTTTTTTAAATTTGTGTTTTCAGGCATATATTTCAGGGAACTATTGAAGTTTAGAAACATACAGTATACTTAAAACACCATGTAAAGTCCATTCTGCACATATGTTTTGTGCAGGCCTACATTCGAATGGTCGGGACTCGACCATTGGAATGTTATTAATATTTCGCATCTTCCAAACTTTCTTGAATTGAATCTCTAGTAAACCTGTATTCATTTACAAGCATAGCGAACCAGACGAGTGTTGAAAATTCAGTATATATAATATATATCTAATCATATTTTACAACTGTAGCACTGAGTTCAAAATGTAAACAAAGCGTTTGTTTACATTACGGACTTTACATGGCCTTTAATTTGACCTTACCCTATATTTATTTATTTATTTAATATTGTGCTTCGCTTCCAAACATTATACAATAATTGCATTAAAGAAGCTGGGACACCACAACAGCTTAACACCAATTACAGTGGGCCCTTTACAAAATATCAATATAAATATAGAAAACAGAAATAATTAACAATTTATTGCCGAAGGCTAGGTGATTATCGGTGAGTAGGGACAGAGACAAAGTCGACGTTTTCATTTAACAATAACCACCGAGCCTGAGGCGAATAATTGTTTTAGTATAATTTCATAGGTGATTATTTGGGAAAAAGAATAAAAATACACATTTCTTCGTCATTTAATAGTCAAAACTTAGGTGATTATGGCGTTATAATCACCTCAACGGCAACCAATCAGCTTGGAAAATTTTCAATAATCAACTATGTAATTATACTTAGTTTACTTAAGGTACGTTTACACACCGCGATCCGCCGTGTACGACTCGTATTTTGGTGAATCCAATCGAGTAGGCATGCGTCAATTGTGCATTTAAAGTTTCGCTTCAATTCAGATTTTTGGAATTGAGGCATCAAATGAATTTCATACACCAAAATCCGAATCGCACAGGACAAATCGCAATGTGCAAACGCCCCTCTAGTAACAGCAAGTTAATGAGACTGGGCTAAATTATATGGGCTGTGGTGACGAAGCAGTTAGTGCACTTGTCTTTCACCTCTAAGGTCGCAGGTTCAAATATCAGTGAGAACTTTCCCAATGCGAGTCAAACCCAGTCCTCATGAAGAGTAAAAGTCAATGTTCTGCCGAAAGTCGTGGGTTTTCTCTGGGTACTCCAGCTTCCTCCCACAGGGAAAGTTGACAGGGTGGGTTAGGTAAAAGGGCTCACAGTAATTGACATATGCTGTTGTAGTGACCCTGCCCTAGTTGGCAAAGCTAAATAAATAAATAAATATAACAAACAGCCAAACTATACTCATGTACATAAGGCCACTACAAGTTAATCTTTAGTTTCTGGTCCGGCATTACCTTCGTTTACGACGCGGGCGGGCGGTTAGGACTATAGGACATAATTACAATTGTGGCTTTGCCCATATTTTTGTGGTCTTTCTTGTCCCTTTTCATGCTAATTGTATCAAAATGTTATGAAATTTTACATAAATTGCATTTATATTATTTATAAATCGACATGTATGACAGATTACAAAGGATTTTACATATCAAAATGATCTATTAATATTTCTAGGTTTATTTTACCTCGTAATCTCGATAAGGCAGCGGTTTTTACCATTCAATACTACATTTTGCTAGGTCTTTTTAGTGTAAATTGAATATTTATCGTTCTATAAGTTAAAATCCTTCGCGAAAATTTTCAAGAACTAGAAATTAATTGTAAATAACAAAATAGTCCTGAAATAATACTTTACGGAGAAAGGACGCGGGCGGCGGACCAGAAACTAAAGATTATTAACTAAAGATTAACTTGTAGTGGCCTATTAAATAAGTGCGGTGCCATTTACCTGAAATTTTCAAGACAGTATTCCGTAAGTTCCATATAATTTGATAAGGAGAGCTCTTCAAATACTGGCAAAGATATCTTAAGGCATCGCTTGTTTGCTGCAACAATTATTTGAGTCCGAAACCACCGCAAAATTATCTCTATATATGAAGCAAAATTATAGCAAATTTCTTCCATTTTGTATTTTTTGTTTTTCTGGATAAATGGACAATCCTGGTCAGCGTCCACTTCATGCCGGGCCGCA